AACAGTTAGTTTATTTAAAATTATTAATTAAAATATGATATTTTTCAAGATGTCCTCTGTTGAAGACATCCTCTAAAATACTTCCCCATGTATTTGATTTTATGTAAAACATCCTGTAAAATATAGTTTCATGAATTTTAGTTAGACTACATTACAAGTGCAATCCTAACAATGAAATTATTAAATCACCATTGAAGAATAAATTAGATACAAGGAAGAGTCTTGATAAAGGTATTTTAGTAATTTTAGTGTCAAAATTGCACTTTTAATGTATACTCATATAGATTTTACATGTCAATTTTTAAATTAATCTAACATTTATAAATTTTTGATTAAAAAAAAACCTATATTTACTAACACATATTTAACGTTGTTAAATTTTGTGTAATCAATGAATTAGTTAGACTTATTAGATCAATTTAAAAATTAATATACATGATCTACATTAAAACAACTTTCAATGTAATTGTTCATTTTTAAAAATATTAATTAAAATATAATATTTTTCGAGATGTCCTTCGTTAAAGACATCTCCTAAAAGACTTCTCCACATCTATTTGGTTTCATGGAAAACATCCTGTAAAATATAGTTTCATGTGTTTTAGTTAGACTACAAATTAAAAGTGCAATTCTTACACTAAGATTATTGAATTACTATTAATGAATAAATGAGGAAGAGTTTTGTTAAGGACATTTTAGCAATTTTAGCATCAAAATTAGACTTTTTAATGTGTAGACTAACGTAAAAAACACTATTTTGTATATATACACACAAGTGATTGTTAGTTGGATCTCTAAATGTTAAACGAAAAAACACTTCAAAACTATGTTGTCCTAATAAAACACCATGAGAAAATACCAAAACAATTGCATTCTTAGTTTTTAAAAAAAGTTATTTTAGTTTTTTTAATGACAATTTATTGAAATAACATAGTTCGAGAGTATTTATCCTCTTAATTTTTTAGAAATCTAACAAACACTTATATATATATATATGTATAATGACATAATTTCATGCTTTAAAAACAAAGAAGGTTTGATTTTAAGATTGGGTGCAGTGTGACGTGGTATCATCTGCCTTAATTAATCCATGTTTTTAAAGATTTTGTTCTTAATCATAACAAAGGGAATAGTAGTTCTTGCTTATACGTCAGTGCTATTTATGGGTAGATGTGAAATTTTTCTCCACTTCAATATCAGTCAAAAATGAAAGTGAGAACTGAAAATTGGCTAATAATATAAGAAGTGCAAAATACTGTCGTTGATGTTTAATTATTATTATTATTTGGATTTTGAATTGGTCTTCTCATATATGGATTAAAAGAAACAAGACAGCTTAGTGATTTAAATACATTAGCACATGTGCTAATTCGTTTTGTTTAGAGGGGAAAATAAAGGCAACCTCAAGTAGAATTAATATAAGATAGATTCCATGAAAATGGCATTGTAGTTTGCATTTAAAAAGACTTGAAGTTGAAGACACAACTTTTTGGGGGAATTAATTTCGGTATTGATCCATTGCCTTTGTTACCAAACAGAATGAAAGTGACACTCTTGAATACTGTTTGGTATGTGTTAGACGTCAAATTCTTACCAAAAAAGAAGATAGGCTGTTTATTTTCAACTTCATTTTGGTCAAACCGTTTATTTCAACTGCCAATGATTTAGTGGCCAATGATAATCTCTATTCTTCATGTAATTATTTGATACTTTCATTGTCTAATGTCAGAAAGAAAATAGTTTATACAAGTAATTAATTAAAAAATTGTATAACAAGGTAAATATTTTTTACAAATTATGCAAATCAACTACTGAAACTTCTTTTACTTGTTGAATGCGAAGACTTATACGATTAGTTTTCCCAACTAATCTCTCTGTACGAGTTATCTAGGTAAAGTTTATTATGAATATAATTTTTATTTATCTATAAAAAAATTGTGTATTGAATCATGTGAGGTCAAATGATTAAAAAAAAATCTATTTTAGTGTTTTTAAAATGACAAAAACTAGTGTCATGCTCTTAAGAGTTTTCTCATTTTCTCACATAAGCCTTAAAAAAAAAAAGTGACATGTAAGTCCCTAAATACCTGAATTTTTTTTTTCTTTTTGTTGAACATGGGAGGAATATGGGGAAGGGAGGATTTACAAAGATTAGAATCAAGGTCTTAACTTTGGTATGTATGCACCATATCCAGTGTAACAAGTGCTGTGAGTGCCCCTAAATACCTGAGTTTGAGTAAAAAAGCTCTTGGGTTAATGATAAGATCACTAGCAGTCATGTAAACTAAACAATGGTCTATTTTTTTCTCGCTTGTGTGGCAATTTCTTTGCATTTAGATGTTGACATGATATGAGACTTAGTTGTTTAATTCTTAACTTTGAATTATATGATGCAAGCCTTTAAATATAAAAAAATTACGAATTCAATTTATTTTATTTTTTTATATTATATTGCACAATAATAGACAACTTGCTTTATTCATTAACTCATATCATTTTTATGTTATGCAAATCAAACTCATAACTTTATCTTTATTGGAAAGAGATTATCATTAATTTATTTAAATCATTAACCATAACATTTTTTAATTAATTGTAGATTTTTTAAAATTTTAATTGCATCATAAAAAATATATTTTTTTATCTCTTAACTTATTTACATGTCATATAATTTTAATTTAAAATTATTATTAAAACAAGATTGGCGCGCACTGGCAGGCGCATATGATGAACTCCGCAAAGCACTAGAAACTAGAAGAAAATTTTCCAATTCTCTACTGGGTGGTAGACTGGTAGGTTTAGACTTTGGTAGGATAAAGGATAATAAAACCATATACCTAGAACCACCAACCCTCAACCTTTACAAGCTTTCGTGTGGTTGGCTAACCATGCTACTTTTTCCAAAGAAGTCGCTTTCCACCAACCCCTGACTGCTACGTTTTACTACTACTCTCATTTCTTTTGCAAACAGGAATCCAAATCCCAACAACCACGCGTGCTGGATTTCATTCCTCCCATCTTAACTGCCCTTTTCCTTATTCAATTTGGAATTGCCGTGCATGTTTTGCTGCAGTATTCCATCTATATATACATTCCCCTTCTCTTTTTGTTGAACTTGGAGTAATTATGGGTTGGAGGAGGAAATGTGAGTCATGTGACACAAGCTAGGCAAGTTGGCAAGGGGGGGATGGGAGGCAAGGGGTGGGGCTCGAAAGCCCACACCTGATAATCCACAGAGGTTTTTTGCCACTTGCCTTCTTGAGTGGTTGAGTAGTTTCCTCTTGGGATTTCAGTGGATAAGGGATAAAAAAACCGACTCGTATTTGAATAGCGTGAGTTCCATGTATAGGCTAGCAGTTTAAGAATTTCGACTCTAAATTCCATTCCAGGTTTTCAACATTCAAGAATTTCATGTCCGTTCCTAGTAGAGAAGTTATCAGTTGGTCCAGGTTTTGTATCCCACTATTGGTAAAGCTTAGTTTGGGTTACATCTAATATCCATATCTATATTTAGTTTGGGCTCGCGAAGTTTTTTCTTGTCTTGGGCTTTATTTATGTTAACTTCGCAGGTGTAAAGAGATTGAGATTTGAAAAAGAAGAAGCTTATTCCCCCTATCTATCTCATAATATCCGTCTTCTCTTTTATTTATTTTGTTGGATGTACCAACAAAATTACTTCATTTGTCCAATAATATCCATCTTTTCTTTATTAAAATTTTGTCCCAAATTAACTGTTTTTTTTTTTTTTTACATTTTCAAATGAATTAATTTTTTTTTAATTTTAACCCTATAGTTAAAAACTCAAATTTAATGATTTACCTAATCAAACTATACCCCATAGTTATCGGTCTTTTTAACTAAATTTTATCTTAAATTACTTGTAAATTTTGTACATTTTGAAGGTACATTAATAAAATTTTCTTTTTTGTTTAACCATGTAGGTAAACCTGACTACTTTTCCTTTATTTCATTCTTTTCTTAGCAATAATTAAGAGTAAAATAAGAAAAATAATAAAATAAGTAGTATAATAATTATCATTCTCAATCACAATGTGTGGTAAAAAAAAGTGTTATAAATCAATTTATTGTAAATGTTTTTACCTTTCACCTCATTTTCTCATGCATTTATATGCTCAATATATTGATGAGTAATTCCCTCCCTTTCGTATGTATCCAACGGTGATCTACTCTTATTTGATGATTAACACACCACTTTTTAATGCAATTAGAATTATGATAAAGATTTGTCTTCTAACCCTTTTTTTAGTAGGTGAGTAATAATGGGTGTTTAATCTTGATAAACCTTAGCAGACAATAACCCACATATATAGGACTTAATCGTACTTTTATAAATGTATGGTGAAAAAAAAAAAATATATATATATATATGGGGTTAGTGCTTGTCCGCCTTACCTCCCAAAAATTAAGAGGAAAAAGGACAAATATCACCTTTAGGAGTGCTTTAAAAATATGGTAATTTAGTTTTTTTTAATAAAAAATTATTAAAACGACGTAGTTTTAAAATAATTTTTCTCCTAATCTTTAAGCGGTAAAGCTGACAGGAACTTTTTCATATATATATATATATATATAACATCAGAAAAGGAAAACGAGGATTGCCTGACAATCCTAAATGACCTTGATTTTGCCAAAACTACAAGGCTACCAAGTAATTCTGACTTTCCGTAACTCCGTATAACATTTCTTTTGCATTGTTTCAATGTCTCTCTAATTCTTTCTTCTTCTTTTGTTTATTTCTTTTTTTATTCTACAACAGATAGAAATATATTGTGAAAATGGTGGGCGTCCTATACATATATTAGCTTGCGCGCATGGGCAAAACAAACCAATGCAAAAAATATCACACGGAGAAAAACAGACGCCAGAAGGAATGCTTTTTAGTTTGGAATCGATTAACAACAAAGCTAATTTCTCAATGAGGATCAGGTTGCTTCGTTTTTGCCACAGAATTCAACAAGGTAATATGTCAAGAACCTTTCACCCAAATTTATTAGGCTGCGTTTCAAAAGGCATATTTAAATTTATCAAACTTATATAACATACAAAATGTAGTATTAGATTTTACAGAATGAACAATTCTCGATGAGTCTCTTATGCAAACTTCCACAAATTTGTAAGGGTAAGTCCAAAGCTTCCCGCTAGAACAGCTACACGGCAGTTACGATGGACATCCTTGTATCTAGATATATCTCAATCTCCCGGTCCCAAAATAACTGATTGGAGATACATATCAAATCCCGAATATCTTGCTTGGCTCAATCTCCCGGTCCCGAAATAACTGCCTGGAGATACACATTGGATCCCGGATATCTTGCTTGGCATCTTGATTGGCATGCCGCGTGGATTCTGCATCGGAACATATAAATACCCCTTAAGGGCCACGCCAAAAGGTAATTGAAACCAACCCAAAAGCTCCTTGTTTCTCTGCTCTCAAGGTAGCCCCGATTATTGCTGACTTAAGCATCGGAGTGTCTACCCCGAGGATCCACCTCGGGGCTTTGCAGGTCAATCCAGAGTGCAGATACGGACCGAAGAAGGACTTCTGGTTTGGTGCAGTTACATTTTGGCGCCATCTGTGGGAATCTGAACTAAAGGATCCCTTGTTGCTCTTATCATGGTTAAAACTAGGTCAGCCCGAGGTGGAAACTCCTCTCAGCCTCTTGGACGAGGTCAGGCCCCTAGCAACCTTCCACCTCATCCCCCACCCCCAATCCCGAATATATTCCCTCATGCTGACCATACAGAAGGAGGGGATGAAAATCAGCCACACAATTCGGCTCACAACTCAGCCTCTACCGCTAACCAAGACATAGTTGCAACTCAACTTGCTGCCATGCAACAGCAGTTTGGTGTCTTTCAGCAAGTGCTGGCTCAGCTGTTAACCCGAAATAATCCTGGTGATCCACTCATCAATTTACTTAATCCTGCCCCACCACAACCCCCAACCCCACCACAAAATCCTGAACCAGTTCAACATGTTCCCGCTGTTAGTGAATCTCAGGGCCAATCTCACATCGCCCCAGCCCAGCAACCCCTTCATGATGATGTCACTCGACATTTAGATAGCTTAGAAAGGCTAGTGGTTGAACAGCGAGGTGTCCCACCTCCACATCCTGCTGTTGACTCCGTACCCCACCCTCTCAACACCAATATTGTACTGGAACCCTATCCCACTGGCTTCAGAATACCACAGCTTGAAACTTATGATGGGACGAAGGACCCCGATGATCATTTACATGCTTTCTACTCTTGCATGCAGGCCCAGAACGCCTCTAATGCGTTGATGTGCAAAATCTTTCCCTCTACCCTCCGAGGTAATGCTTGAACCTGGTACTACAGTCTGCCTCCGAGGTCAATTAACTCTTACACAAAACTGGCATTTGCTTTTGCCACAAAGTTTTCCAGTAGAAGGTTGATCAGGAAAACCACCTCTGAGCTGATGCAAGTTAAGCAGAGGGACGGAGAGTCTTTGAAGAATTTTATGAGCAGATTCAATGATGCTGTGCTAGAGGTTAACTCTTTCGACCAAGCTGTGGGAATTACAGCTGTGATCTCAGGTCTCGGCCATGAAAGATTCAGAGACAGTCTGCTTAAACATCCTGCCACTACCTTCAGTGAGGTAAATGATAGATCATTGAAATTCATAACTGTTGAGGAATATGCCCTGTCACAGAACATCACTCCTATTAAGAACCAAGACCCGGACTGGAGAGATGAGAATCCGAATAGGAAACGGATGAAGACAACACAGAACCGGGGTTCGATGTCGGATTCCACCCTGAGGTTCGGAAGGCCGAACTTAGCACCTCCGCAACAACCTGCAGGTAAACCTCCAGTTAATTGGACTCCTTTTAATTTACCGAGGTCACAAATCTTTATGCAGATTAAGAATAAGATGGACTTAAGACGTCCGGATCCAATGAGAACTACTGCTGCTACCAGAGACCATACAAGGTATTGTGATTTTCATCAAGATCACGGTCATACAACAGAGCAATGCAATAGTCTGAGGTCCGAACTGGAAAGTCTGGCGCAGAAAGGAATGCTGAATGAGTACATCCAGAGAGTTGAACAGCCACGGTTTGTCATGGAACAAGGGACACAGCGTCAAAGAGTCCGCAATCCCCCAAACAGGCAAGGTGTGGGATATCAGCAGGCCCTACCCCCACTCCCACCACCAGCTAGGGTCATACACATGATTACGGGAGGTCTGGAGGCAGGTGGATTGAGCTCTAAGCAGCGAAAGTTGTATGTCAGAGAGGTTAGGCACCAGAACCGAGCTCAGAAGCGAAAGTTTGACGATGCTGAGTGGAAGAATCAACCCATCACTTTCACATCTGCTGATCTCGAAGCAGTTGTCACACCTCACAATGATCCTCTAGTCACTTCTGTCACGATCAACAATTGTGAGGTGCAGCGTGTCCTTGTTGACACCGGGAGTGCACCCGACATCATGTACTTCCATTGTTTTGAGAGTCTCGGGTTAGATCCAGCTCTGTTGCAGCGGTATGATGGTCCCATCTACGGATTCAATAACCAACCAGTTCCAGTTGAAGGCGTCCTCACCATGAATGTTGCATTTGGCAGTGGTCGGAGTTATGTGACCCCTTCAGTTAGGTTTTTGGTAGTCAAGATGGCGTCCTCATTCAACGTCGTCATTGGCCAACCCACACTGACTGAAATTCGAGCTGTGGTTTCCCAATCTCACCTATGCATGAAGTTCCCAACTCCTACGGGCATAGCAACGTTGCGAGGCAACCAGGAGGTGGCCCGACATTGTTATATCACCTCGGTAACACAACCTCAGAAAGGCAAGGCTCAGACACCCGAGATTAATCCCAAACGAATTCCTGATGATCGGCAGGTTATGGGTGTTGAGATAGTAGATAACCGACCAGAAGATGAAACCAAAGCCGCTCCAGTCGAAGATGTGGAGGAGGTACAGATTGATGACAAAGATCCAAGTCGGAAAACACAAATTGGGACTAAATTAAACCCGGAGGAAAGAGCAGAGCTAATAGCTTTTCTTCGGGCCAATAAAGATGTTTTTGCATGGACTTCAGCAGATATGCCGGGAATTCCCACTTCAGTTTTTCAACATAAATTCAGCACCAATCCCCTCAAGAAACCAGTAACCCAGAAGCGACGCCTCTTCGGGGGGGAGAGGTTAAAGGTTATTAAAGAAGAATTTGAGAAACTCCTACAAGCCGGCTTTATCAGAAGGGTAGATTACTGTGAGTGGGTCGCCAATCCGATGCTGGTGAAAAAAGCAAACGGTAAATGGCGGATGTGCATTGATTACACTAACCTCAACGATGCATGTCCAAAGGACTGTTATCCAATGCCAAACATTGATAAGCTGGTTGAGGCAGCTTCGGGAAATGAGAGATTAAGTCTCTTGGATGCGTACTCTGGCTACCACCAGGTCCCAATGGCTCCTGAGGATGAAGAAAAAACCTCATTCTATGCTGGCGATGAGATCTATTGCTATGTAATGATGCCCTTCGGCTTGAAGAACGCAGGTGCCACTTACCGAAGATGGTTACCATCGTATTCCGAGCTCAGATAGGACGAAATCTGGAAGTTTATGTTGATGATATAGTGGTAAAGAGTTTGAAAGCTGACGATCACTTAACCGACCTTGAGGAGACATTCAACAATCTCAGACAGAATAGAATGAG